CGGCATTAAGGTTGTGAGCGAGCAATTTGGCTCCGGCATAAATGAGTTTGCACTGGAGCCCTCCTTCCTGAGCTAGGACAAAAATGGGTGAGCCGAAGGCTAAGAAACTGTGAGCTGGCTCGCGCTAACTCAGCTTAGAGGGAACACTGCCCACCACCACCAGTGCTCCCTCTGTGGGGTCTCCACCACCAATGCTCCCTCTGTGAGGTCTTGTGAGCAAAAATGCTACTTTGTGAGCGACTGGCATGAAAATTGCGAGCAAGTGATTGGGCTGCTGCATACGTTAGTTTGCTCTGGAGCCCTCCTTCCTGAGCTAAGACAAAAATGGGTGAGCTGAAGGCTAAAAAACTGTGAGCTGGCTTACGCTAACTCAGCTTAGAGGGAACACTGCCCACCACCACCAGTGCTCCCTCTGTGGGGTCTTGTGAGCAAAAATGCTACTCTGTGAGCGACTGGCAAGAAAGTTGTGAGCGAGCGATTGGGCTGCTGCATCAGTTAGTTTGCTCTGGAGCCCTCCTTCCTGAGCTAAGACAAAAATGTGTGAGCTAGAGACTAAAAAACTGTGAGCTGGCTCATGCTAACTCAGCTTAGAGGGAACACTGTCCACCCCACTCTGTGGGGTCTTGTGAACAAAAATGCTACTGTGTGAGCTCCTAGCATTAAAGCTGCGAGGGAGTGATTGGGCTGCTGCATCAATTAGTCTGCTCTGGAGCCCTCCTCCTTGAGCGGAGGCAAAAATGTGTCAGCAAGAGGCTAAAAAGCTGTGAGCTGGCTCACACTCACTCGGCTTAGAGGGACACACTGCCTCCTGCCCCTTGGCCGATTGAAAGCTTAGGATCATAAGAGAGTTGGGAGGGACCTCCAGGGTCATCTAGTCCAACCTCCTGCACCATGCAGGAAATCCACAAATAACCCCCCCATGCTCCCTCTAAGCTAGGGAGTCTCGTGAGCAAAAATGCTACTTTGTGACCTCTTGGCATTAAAGTTGTGAGTGAGCGATTGGGCTGCTGCATCAATTAGTCTGCTCCGGAGCCTTCCTTCCTGAGTTAAGACGAAAATGGGTGAGCCAGCGCCTTAGCTCACACTAACTCAGCTTAGAGGGAACACTGCCCACAGCTTAGAGGGAACAAAACCCACAGTGCCCACTGTTCCATGACCCGAGAATGACAAAAAACCTCCAGGATCCCTGGCCAAAGTGGCCAGGAGAACTAAACACTGAGGCAACCCTCCCTGCCCTCGTGATCCTCCTAAGTTCACAGAAGCAGCCTCGCTGATGTCAGATGGCCATCTAGCCTCTGTTCGAAAACCTCCAAAGAAGGAGCGGGCAAGCTTGAGGGCTAGGAACTTGAAGCTGGACCTAGAGCAGGATGGGGAGGAGTTTGTTGTAGACGGCCCAAGTGTTCCTAGAGTTAGGCATTCAGATGTTACTGCGTTGGGGGGGGGAGGGTCAAAAGAGGAGCTTTGCTACGTGGCCAGGGGCATTGGTGGCCATGTTGGCTTGACTTGCTAGGTTGTCTCTCCTGCCTGTGTGGATGAGTCTGACCACTGGTGTACATAGGGTGTGGATCTTTAGATTGTTCATGTGTTACTTAAAAATTTGCCCCGATCTGGATGGCCCAGGCTATCTTGTCAAATCTCAGAAGCTAAGCAGGGTCAGCCCTGGTGAGTACTTGGATGAGAGACCACTGAGAAAGTCCAGGGTCGCTATGTAGTAGAGATGGGACTATATAGATTTTTCTCTTTTTGATTATTCATATTTCTCTGGTTTTTATAGGTTTATTATAGATTTAACATTTTATTGGAAGGTAATGAAGGCCTGGTATATAGGAGGGCTTCTTGGTGGGTCAGGGTATTTTCCCAGTTGAGGTTAACAGACAAGACAATAACATTCTTCTGGCACAAAAGAAGGTAGAAGGTTCGTGGTTCTAATTGTTTGGGTTACAACTTCATAGTGTCTGGGTCAAAAGGATCTTTTACTTGATATCAGAGAAAAACACCTTTGTTTGGGTGAGAACAAGCTTTGGCCGATATGGCTTAGGTCATGTCAAGTAAATGTGTGACGCTATTGCATAGACACACCTTTCTTTACTTTGGCCAATAAGGAGATTTTTATGTAAATGTTGGTTAAGTTTTTGTAACCAATTATGCCTTCTGAATATTATTCCCATGATGATGGTATGATGATGTCATTTTAGGTATTTAACTTCATGTATTTCCTGATTGGGCTTAGAAAGCAGTCAACTTTGATGGGTCCTTTGGCCTAACCGTTTTCCGTATTTCATTGTAATAAAATACAAGAACTTCCTCCCCATTTTGACTTCAATCTTCTATTTTTGACTGGATATTCATTTGTATAACAGGTACGCAGAGGCAGGCAGTGGCAAACCACCTCTTTTGCCCCCCAAACTCCTACGGGGGTCACCATAAGTTGGATGTGACTTGATGGCAGACAAACAGCCCCCCCCCCCAATTTATAGATTGGCAAGCTGTAGTATCATGGTTTTATCTGGATGCATTTTAAATGATTGTTTTGTATTTTAATTTTTTCTGTGCAAAAATACGGAAGCTTCTTGCTTATCTTCTGGTGGAATTCTTGCGTTGTTGCGATGCCTTGTTTGCTGATGCAATAAAGATTGTGTGTTTGTGTATGTGTGCGTGAATTGATAGGTTCCTTATTTGGTGGGGTGTCTGCCTTTGGAAAAAAATGTCTGGAAAAGGCTGCTGCCCCAGAACTCAGCAGCGGGGTTCAGAATGACAGCAGGAAGAGTGATTATCTGTCCTCCCAAGTACTGAGCGGTGGCTCCGTCAAAGGCCACTGCCAACGGCTGCAGATAAGATTTCCTCATCTATGAGTGTTCTTGGTCACTAGCGTTATCTGTTTGTTTACCTGGTTGCTTGGCCATTTATATTTACCCTGTCACTATCCTCATCAGTCACCATTTCCATCACCTAGATTATCATCACGTTCCCATTATCATCCAAGTAAAAACTGACAGAACTTTGCACGTGAACTGTGTCGGCCAGTTTGGTGTAGTGGTTAAGTCTGCGGACTCTAATCTGGGAGACCCAGGTTTGATTCCCCACTCCTCCACTTGCACCTGCTGATGTGACCTTGGGTCAGTCACAAGCTCTGGCACAGCTGTCCTTGAAAAAGAGCAGTTTGTGTCAGAGTTCTCTCAGCCCCACCCACCTCACAGGGTGTCTGTTGTGGGGAGGGGAAGGGAGAAGAGTTTGTAAGCCGCTCTGAGACTCCAAGTGAAGGGCGGGGTATAAATCCAATCTCTTCTTCTTCTTCTTCTGCACTGTCTTGTGAAAGGATTACCCCTTCTCCTCTGGTTGCAGTAATGCGATTTTGAGTTTTTTGTGCTGTACTGAAATGTAATGTGGCATATATAGATGTACACACACGGTTTGGTGTGGAGCCACTTTGGTGTAGTGGTTGAGTGCTTGGACTCTAATCTGGAAGAACTGGGTTTGATTCCCCACTCCTCCACTTGCACTTGGGCAAGCCGTAGTTCTGGCACAGCTGTTCTTGGAAAAAACCAGCAGTTTCTGTCAGAGCTGTCTCAGCCCCACCTACCTCCCAGGGTGTCTGTTGTGGGGAGGGGAAGAGAAAGGAGTTTGTAAGCCACTCTGAAACTCCCTTGGGTAGTGAAGGGGGGGGTATAAATCCAATCTCTTCTTCTTCTTCCACTTGCACCTGCTGGATGACCTTGGGCAAGCCGTAGTTCTGGCACAGCTGTCCTTGAAAAAGAGCAGTTTCTGTCAAGAGCTCTCTCAGCCCCACCTGCCTCCCAGGGT